AACCAGAGAATAAAGTATCATTAGAGTTTCTGAATTGATGTGACTAACCAAAATAACCTAAAGAAAATAAAAATTAAAAAAAAATATAACTGGCTGAATAGTTCCGTTCATTATTAGATTTTTATTCAAAAAAATAATAATAAATATGATTAAAAATCAAATATTAATAAGAAGGATTATTCTGAAAATCTTATTCTATTAATCATATGTTTATTTGATATATTTGAAACATTTCCAAATTTTCTATTTTATAGTTTGATTGAAATTAAAGAATGAAAATAATTTTTTTGTCATTATTAGGTTATTATCTTAAATTCATGATATCAAAAAATATTTTAAAGGATAGAACAATTGTATCAAATATTAAAACATCAGTTATTATTTTATTTGATGAAACTGTTTTTTAGTTTTTATTTATATATTATTATTATTATCTATTAAATCTAGGAATGATATAATCTATAACTAAATTTTAACCACCAATAAATAAATATTAAATAGAATAATAAAAAAAATTTTGTTAAAATTTATGATTATCCTTACTTCTTTTAAATGGTTCAATAGATCAAAAAAAATGATATTATTAATGTGCCAAGAATATCGTTAAATTCAGTTATTAATCTAATAGATTTTTCACATGAAAAAACATGAACCTGCATTTGGATCCCATCTATGAGGCTTAGCTGTCTTTATGTAACAATATCCTGATTTAAGAGTATTAATATCCATTATAACACATTATTATTTATGATAGTGACATAGATGAATTTGCTTATTATTCCAAGTTTTAGTATTCTTACAACTTCCTATTTAAGTAGAATAAGTTTAATATGTATGTGTTTAACATAAAGATTTATTTTAATTCTAATGACATTTATCTTTAACTAATTCACATGCATTTTAATCATTTTTTTTGCGAATTCACAACTCTCCATTAGTAGACATTATTTTACAAATTCCATATAATCTTTCGGATTAAAAGTATAATTAATATTTTTATCTCAAATATCCTATGAAAAATATTATTAATATAAAAATAAGATTAATAATAAAAAATAACACCGATTTTATGATTGAACTGATTATCTTTTTGATACATTTGTAGAAAATTTATTGTATTCAAATAATGTTTTAAAAAATGAAGTTTTAAATATTAACTTAATTACCCTGGAGAAAATTTATAATATTTTAGATTTGATCATAAAAATGAATAAAATTAATATTAAATGATATGTTCTATAATAATTTCAAAGTTCTATTTCTGTATTGATATAACCAATATTTCTCATTCTATATTTTACTAAAATATAAAAGCCTATTAATTATAAAATGATTATGATAATTAATGAATAAATCCATCTTCTTGAATTATAATTTAAATCAGGAAGCATAAAATTTATATCATAAACTCCATCTGAAAAATCATTCTTGCAAATAATATTCACATGTTTTGTCTTTTTATCTTATCTATAATGACATTTTAAAGTTCTAGTAGATATTGGATAATATAAAACTGATCCATTATTTAATGCAAGGCATGTAGCGTTTCGATCCTCTATATTTGTAATTAAAGCATATCCAGAAGATGTAGAGTTTAATTATCCTAACATCAAAATAGGCTCTTCTAAATTGTTAATAAGTAAATCAGTAATGTAGTAAACTCCTATAATATAGGTATTTCCTTATTTAAATTATTGAAGTAGAAATCCATTAGAATATACAAAATTTGGAACTAGTACTATATCATCATTTACATAAGCTGGGATAGTGGTTATTAAATCTTAAAAAGATAACTAGTTTTAAAATAACTTATAAAATAATAAATATCCAAAACCTTCAGTACTAGTGATAAGGAAGAAAATTTATTTGTCTATTATTTGCAATATCAATATTTAAGCATAAAGTAGATTATCCGAAAATAAAACTAAAAAATTACTTTAAGTAATTGAATATTTATTAAAATATAAATATTGATAAAATACATCATAATAATTGGAGATGTATATAATAATAACTAAATTTGACTAATTCATATCTAAACTAGAATTATATAAAGATACTGAAAAATCTTGACAATCACTAATAAGTAGCTGGATGCTATTGTTTAAAGGGTTCAATAAATACAAATTTTAAGAATTTTAATTATAAGATCCCAATATAAAATTAAGAGCGGCTATATTACTAATTTTAGATATATAAGTAAATTTATAAGCTATTTACAATAAGCTTCTATTTATAACAATTCCATTAGAGTCAAAATAAATGCTTAGCCAATATTATGCAGTATCGTTTTGACATATTGATGATAAACTTAAATTATAAGATGTTGATTTCAAGCATTCAGTAAAATTTAAATTAGAATAATCGTAAGATTAAAGAAATTCAAAATACTAATTAACAATTCTTATTGCGCTGTTGTTTTACAGAATAAAAAATTTGTTATTTACTGCAGTTACTTATGTGTAATTAAGATCAATATTTTTTGTAAAGTAAACAAAATTAGTTAAATTGCATTCATCATTTGTAAAGTATTGTTAATCAAATTAATCAACTTTTTTATCAATTTTATCAACATCAGAACTTTTAGGAAAATAACAAAGACTTGCCTGTCTATCAAGGATTATATTCACAGGAATTGTAAAAGTTCGATCAGTTAAATTTAAATCTTATATCAACAAATCTACCGTTATTGTAGTTTTTGGTTAGAAATAAGTGAAATTTGATAAATACGTCAAGCTTTGATTTGGTGTGGTTTAATTAGCAGTTTAATTTACCAAAGAAGTAATAGTATAATTATAAATCAGTTATGGGTAAGAGTGTGAAAAATTTAGAGATTAATTTACTTTAAACTAAAAGTTTTGCTCTGTTGATAATGAATTGATATAAGTTTCAAAATACAAAATAGATTTTAAAGAATATTAAATAGTGCTTATCAATTTTGATGATAAAATGAGTAAATAATATAAACTCATATGTTAAGGTAATTTAGGGTTGTAGACATACAAATTGTAATTTTAAAATTGAACATAAAAAAACCAGTCATCTGATAGTATTTAGATATTATTCTTATTCTGTACATTAGGCATATTTCTCATAAAAAATGGATATTTAAAATTTTATATACTCCAAACTTAGAAACAAAGATCAAACCCGTAATTGCAAATATAGGATAGAACTAATTATTGATTTACAATATTTATTTATTTAATTTAGAATTTAACCTCTATGATTGAAATTGGAATTGGTATATTACTTTAATCAATCGAAATAATAATGACATTATTAATANAAAATGATGTATATTTATTTGTATATTACTTGCAATATCAAAATTTAAGTAAAATAATAAGGATAAATATAAAAACCTTAAGAACCACTTAAAGTAATTGAATTTTTATTGAAATTTATATATTGATAAATTACATCATCCATGATGTATATAACAAGAACTAAATTTGACTAATTCATATCTAAACTAGAATTATATAAAGATACTGAAAAATCTTTACAATATATCTAACCTTGATATTAATTAAGTTACTGCATAGAGTTGTTTAACGGATTCAATAAATACAAACCTCTGTTATATGTATTGTTAGAGCCTAAAATAAAATTAAGAGTGGCTATATTACTAATTTTCTTTATATAAGTAAATTTAAAAGGTATTTACATTAAGCTTCTATTTATAACACTTCCATTAGAGTCAAAATAAATGCTTAGCCAATATTAAGCAGTGTCGTTTTGACATATAGAAGATAAAGTTAAATTATAAGATGTTGATTTCAAGCACTCAGCAAAATTTAAATTAGAATAATTGAATGATGTAAGTTATACAAAATACTAATTATAAATATCGATTACACTGTTGTTTTACAGAACAAAAAATTAGTTATTTACTGCAGTTACTAATGTGTAAGTTTGATTAGTTGTTGTGGTTTTAAAGTAACCAAAATTAGTTAAATTGCATTCATCATTTGTAAAGTATTGTTAATCAGATTAATTAAATCGATCAATTTTATCAACATCAGAACTATTAGGAAAATAACAAAGACTTGCCTGTCTATCAAGGATTATATTCATAGGAATTGTGAAAGTTCGATCAGTTAAATTTAAATCTGTTATCAACAAATCTTTGATTATTATAGTTTTAGGTTAGAAATAAGTGAAATTTGATAAATAAGTCAAGCTTTGATTTGGTGTAGATTAATTAGCAGTTACATTTAACAAAGAGGTAACAGTATAATTATAAATCATTTATGGGTAAGAGCGCGAAAAGTTTTAAGCTTAATTTACTTTAAGGTTAAAACTTTGTTATATTGATAATGAACTGATTTAGTTTTCAAAATACAAAATTGATCCGAAATTATAATAATCAGTGCAATTCAATTTTGTTGATAAATTGATTTAATAATATAAACTCATATGTTAAGGTAACTACGGATTGTAAACATACACTGTGTAATTTAAAAATTGAACATAAAAAAAAAAGTTATCTGATAGTATTTATAGATAATTCTTATAATCTACACTGGTCATATTTCTCATAAAAAAAGGATATTTAAAATTTTCTATACTCCAAACTTAGAAACAAAGATCAAAGCCTTTATTGCAAATATAAGATAAAACTAATAATTGATTCACAATATTTATTTATTTAATTTAGAATTTAACCTCTATGATTGAAATTGGAATTAGTATATTACTTTAAATGATAGAAATAATTATGACATTATCAATATTATTGATTAATAAATATTAAGAAAAACGCTAATTATTTACAACTATTTAAATAGGATTAAATTTTAGTTTACTGTCTGCATTAAATAATGTATTAATCATAGTTTCGTTAATGATTACTAAATCAGTAAAATTCAAAGTCATGATTTAAATTTCTTGATTTATAATCAAAGTTATCAAATTATATTACGTAATGAAAAATTACTAAATTTATTATTCAAATTTAAACTCTGAAGAGGAGTAGTAATTTTTTTAATAGTAAATTAAATAAAGATAAACTGTATAATCATCACTAAGTCCTATTATTAAATGGCAATATGACAATGAATAGTGATCACAATCAGAAACTTATAATTACTGAGCCTGAATAGAAATATTAATATCCATCAATTTTTCATAAGAGTAAGGAGTGAAGGATATATCCAAGATTTATATTGATTCATTTGTAACTCCTATTAATTAGCGTTTGTAAAATTAGGCCAAGTTAAATGAATTGTTTATATATATCAATCCTTCCTTAAATGTTGTTTAACTAAACTATCCAAATTATTTATTATCTGTATTCAAAGTATATTACAGTAATTTGCCTGAATAGCCTACAAAGATTTTTTCATCTTTTTCATCGTAACTAATATATCGATACTGAGGGAAATTTTTATTAAACATTACATAAATATTTGTATCATTCTAATCTAGAATTGTAATAGACATAAACATTTTACAAATACCGATGAAAGTCAGATTAAATTATTTAGCAAAAATTGTGATATCATAAGTTATTCCTTAAACTTATTAATCTGTTAAATTAATTGATAGTTATTGTATTTTCAATTCATATACAATGATTTATCTGTTAAACATAAATAGATAGTTATCATAAGTATTTAAATATATTTAAGTGTTGTCATTAATTAAAATTGAGCCAATAGAGTTGGATTCTTATTATTGATAAAGGGTAAGTTGCAGTTCTTATTAAATTACAATAAATTCATTATTCAAAAAAGATTAAATCAATTTTTATTGTTTAATATTAATAAAATAAGAGTTTAACAAAATTAATTGATTTTAACATCCTAAGTATTCTTCTCTATATTTTTTATAATAGTAATTAACCAAAATTTAATCACATTAAAAGTAAATTTAATAGTTATAATAAACTTGAAAATTATCAACTTTTCCATAAAATCCTAAATCGAATGGCGCTATTAATTCAAAAGTATTATTCTAAGAAATGATAAATAATTTTATGATTGATTATTCAAGTATATATATAAAAGGGTTTTCTCTTAATGGAATAGCAATCTGTATAAATTAATCTTAATAAAATGTTAAGTTTTTAAACTGAGATGAGAATAATGTTATGATGGATATATTTTGATAATATTAGGCATATATTAGGAAAGGCTTTGATTCATTATAAATTCCTTGCATTTATGATTTAATTGGCTTATTCGCTTAGATTGAATAAACGATTTCAAAACTAGTATTCATTAGTTATAATAAATGAAAATGTCCTTCAGTATAACAATCAAGTAAGATATCTATATCAGCAAAAAAAACAATATTATAGCATTTATATATTTTTTCAATTTTAACTCCTTATCCCTACTGTTAAATATTTAAGTTTTTCCATTAGTAGAGTATTATATAATAATCTTTAGTTATTGTTGCAAAATGAGTTTGATTAGATGATACTGATATAAATTCTAATATGATGATTCTAATAATTACCATGTCCTTCTATTTGTATTATTTCATTAAAAGCATTTGTTATTTAAACATTAGGCACGCTAGGCTCATAATGGTAAATCAATTGGATATTTTCATAATGATTAAAAAATAACTTTTCATTTAATAATTAGTTCATAGGATATTCTAAATACTCTCCATTAGTTGGGTATAAAGTCATGTCTTCGTATTTCCAAAAGCAACTTTGTACAAAAATGGTTAAAATGAAAAATATCATTTTCTATTATTATTAATATTCAAAAAGAATATTATGGACCTATAAAAATTAAGAGAGCAATTTTCTCAAAATACATTAAGAGATAATAAAATCTAAATTTTATCCTACCAATATCACTTACAATTTATTAATAAGATAATAAAGGTTAAATCCAACATACATAAAATTTAGCATTGCTATTTTCACAATTTTTCATTAAAAATATTACTTATTTATGAAATCCATTTAAATAAAATACAATGGACAAATTATGAGTTATATAATCAAAATCTGATATGACTTAAGCTAAATATAGTATAATAAATATTGAAAACTGTTTATTAACTTTTCTTTCTGGTTAAAAATTGAATTAGATTAGGATAAATGGTAGCGCAAAAATACAATTTGATATCAAAAATTGATTGAAAAGAGACAAATAGTTTAGAAAGTAAGTAATTTTTAGCAGAAATTCTTGATCATATATCAGAAAGGGAAACAACTTACTGATTAGAAATTGCTTTTATCAATAATTTATCTATTGATAAGGTTTGTCTTAATATTAATTACTTTACTTATTCGAATATAAATATAAATTCTACTCTAATTTTTTTATTATCATCATAGTTCAGTTCAAAAAATAATTTAGACATATGTAAAAATTTTACTTGAATCAACCTTTTTAAATTTTGTTGGGGTTTCATTAAACAGTAAATTAAATAAGGAGCTTTAAAATACTTTAATTCCTATAAAAATTGAAATCTAAATTGAAAGAAATAAATGGCTATAAAAATATGAAGATATTGGTTTTAAGTAGTATTGAAAATAATCCTTACCAATTTTAGTGCTTTATTGATAAAAAACAAACGGTTCAGAGTTTTTCTTTAAATTAAGGTAGTTGGGGAGTTTAGGTAATAGTATCATAGTCTTACAACAATAATTACTTTAATTTTCTATCTTATAATTAAATATGATTTGAATTAATATCAATTAAATGTGAATTATTTAAATAATCTAATAAACCTTCTTTGATATTAACAAGATTACAATATGAAATTTCTCATTATATTTTTATAATTCAAAGATACTCAATTATAATGTTAAATAAAATAGATGATTAAATTTTAGAAAATTCAAAAAGGAATTTATTAGATAATGTTCCAAAAAAAGATAAATCAACATTCTTTTTATATAACATAGATCGTTCTGAAATTTAAGGGGATGTATTATTTTGATAGATTAAATAACCTTTTAATTAAATAAGGAACATATATTTGAGATTGATATCAAATTATCAAATACATCAAATAAACCAGAAATGATAAAAACAGGAAATTTAATCATTTTTCATGAAAACTAATTTAGGTATTGGTAATCAATAATAGTATAAAATATTACTAATTATTAAATTAGAAAAAAGTAATAGACAGTAATTAGTTTGGAACCATTAAATATTGAGGAAATGATGGATTTAGAAAATGATTAAGATTTATAAGCAATAGAAAGATTTTTGAATAAGAAAAAACCAAAAAAATAACAATAATAGTAATGACATTTTATGAACATCGAAGCCAATATATTTTTCATTATCAATTTTTAACTTTCCATTTTTATCTATCAAGTGGGCAATAATCTTATTCTTCAGTCCATCTAACTATACAATGTAAATGAAAATGATGATTGCATGCACCTGTAACAGGAGGACATTCATCTCCTGGTAATTTACATCTTGGACAAGGTTATTCAAATGCTAACTAACAAATTGTGCATCTATCTGTATCTAGACTCCATATCCATGAAGCAACAGCATTCCATTCTTTTATCTTAACTTTCATAATTTGAATTTTACTATAATAATTGAATTTATTTTATTCTTTAAATCAATAAATTAAAATAATCAATATTATTATTAAACACAGATGATTGAATTAATGAAGTATTATTGCTTGTTTTTGAACAATTACTTGAATGTTTTTATGTTTAAATCAAAGAGAGAATACAGATATAATAAATCTTTTAATGTAATTAATATCTCAAACTTAATAGCATTTTATTAACAATCATTTTAACCCCTAGATACAATATAATAAAAATATTATTTATTCTATTCAACCATTTGGCAATTTAAAGAATAAAAAACATATTATTTTATTAAATGATTTAATCATCATAATTTGATTAGAATATTCATTAGAGATTAAAGTCATTTTAATTAAAATTCTTAAATATATGAAAAATGATTATTTATAGTATAAGTATGAGAAACACAAAAAATACAATAAGATAATGATTTATTATTATTATAATTATAATTATAAACTGATTAATTTTCAAGGTTCTGTTATTGTTTCTGAATCGTAAGTAAAATAATCGTAATTGTCAAATTATTCTTTTCTATTTACTGGACTATCTATTGGAGGTTCATCCAAAAACATCTTACGATTATAATGTGATTACTTTATTAAAATATCTTAGATCTAATTCATCATTTAATTCCGGGATAATAGGAGGTACTAATTAACGATTTTAAGCTTAATTCCAATCTATATCTGAAAAGAATGGATGTTTTTTTATTTATTATATATTAATTCTTTATTTAGGCTGATAATATAGAATATATTTACATTATTATTTAATAATCCTGTGAGTAGACTCGAACAGGCTTCAGAAAACCAAGGTTTCATTTCTGTTGGTTTTTCAGTTCTATTTCTGAACATGAGAGTTCGATCTTGACTATAAAAAGGTGCAGCTCCGGTTAACATTTCATACATCAAAGCTCCCAAACTCCACCAATCACATGATTCATCATGGCCAAGTTTATCATCTGNAATTATAATGTTAAATAAAATAGATGATTAAATTTTAGAAAATTCAAAAAGGAATTTATTAGATAATGTTCCAAAAAAAGATAAATCAACATTCTTTTTATATAACATAGATCGTTCTGAAATTTAAGGGGATGTATTATTTTGATAGATTAAATAACCTTTTAATTAAATAAGGAACATATATTTGAGATTGATATCAAATTATCAAATACATCAAATAAACCAGAAATGATAAAAACAGGAAATTTAATCATTTTTCATGAAAACTAATTTAGGTATTGGTAATCAATAATAGTATAAAATATTACTAATTATTAAATTAGAAAAAAGTAATAGACAGTAATTAGTTTGGAACCATTAAATATTGAGGAAATGATGGATTTAGAAAATGATTAAGATTTATAAGCTATAGAAAGATTTTTGAATAAGAAAAAAACCAAAAAAATAACAATGATAGTAATGACATTTAATGAACATCGAAGCCAATATATTTTTCATTATCAATTTTTAACTTTCCATTTTTATCTATCAAGTGGGCAATAATCTTATTCTTCAGTCCATCTAACTATACAATGTAAATGAAAATGATGATTGCATGCACCTGTAACAGGAGGACATTCATCTCCTGGTAATTTACATCTTGGACAAGGTTATTCAAATGCTAACTAACATATTGTGCATCTATCAGTATCTAGACTCCATATCCATGAAGCAACAGCATTCCATTCTTTTATCTTGACTTTCATAATTTGAATTTTAGTATAATAATTGAATTTATTTTATTCTTTAAATCAATAAATTAAAATAATCAATATTATTATTAAATCACAGATAATTGAATTAATGAATATTATTGCTTTCTTTTGAACAATTAATTGAGCTTTTTTATGTTTATATCAAAGAGAGAATACAGATTTAAAAAATCTTCTAATGTAATTAATATCTCAAACTTAATCGTATATTATTAACAATCATTTAAACCACTAGATTCAATATAATAAAAATATGATTTATTCTATTCAACCATTTGGCAATTTAAAGAATAAAAAATAATATCATTTTATTAAATGACTTAATCATCATAATTTGATTAGAATATCAATTAGGGATTAAAGTCATTTTAATTAATATTGTTAAGTATGTGAAAAATTATTATTTATAGTATAAGTATGAGAAACACAAAAAATAAAATAAGATAATGATTTATTATAATTATAAACTGATTAATTTTCAAGGTTCTGTTATTGCTTCTGAATCGTAAGTAAAATAATCGTAATTGTCAAATTATTCTTTTCTCTTTACTGGACTATCTATAGGAGGTTCATCCAAAAACATCTTATGATGATAATGCGATTACTTTATTAAAATATCTAGATCTAATTCATCATTTAATTCTGGGATAATGGGTGGTACTAATTAACGATTTTAGGCTTAATTCTAATCTAGATCTGAAAAGAATGGATGTTTTTTTATTTATTATATATTAATTCTTTATTTAGGCTGATAATATGGACTATTTTTACATTATTATTTAATAATCCTGTGAGTAGATTCGAACAGGTTTCAGAAAACCAAGGTTTCATTTCTGTTGGTTTTTCAGTTCTATTTCTGAACATGAGAGTTCGATCTTGACTATAAAAAGGTGCAGCTCCGGTTAACATTTCATACATCAAAGCTCCCAAACTCCACCAATCACAGGATTCATCATGGCCAAGTTAATCATCTGAATATATATATCAGGAGCAAGATATTCTGGAGTTCCTACTATAGAAAAGGATGGTTTATCTCGATTGCTGATAATTTTAGATAATCCAAAATCAATTAATTTGATATGGCCATCATAACATAAGAGGATGTTTTCTGGTTTAAGATCTCTATATAAGATTTTAGAATCATGTATATATTCTAAGGCGATAATAATTTCAACAGCATAAAATTAAACTTAATTCTCTNTTATCAGCTTTACCATATAAATGTTTATTAAATAAATGGGCTTTAGGTATGTAATCAGCTTTTAGAGAATACTTTGCTTATAGGACATAAATGAAAGGAGAAATTGAATTGAATTTGGCAAGTGATATAAGAATCAAAGCATGGTTAAATTGTTTTGATTGTCCAGATACAATAAGGGCAGTAGCATAATTTTGGAATGAATTTATAGAGTAAGACTAATAAAATATATATTTTATAGACCTAAAGTGAATGATCATTAATTTTTATTAAAAGCTGTATCAAAAATGGCAGATTCTTTATATTTAATGTTTAAGAATACAGAATTCAAATTTTCAGCTGGAGATCCTACAGGTCGAATTGATCATGATATGGTTTTACTTAAAAAGAGATAATAATTGATTGCTGATGCTATTTTAGATATGAAAACTAATTTAGGTATTGGTAATCAATAATAGTATAAATTATTACTAATTATTAAATTAGAAAAAAGTAATAGACAGTAATTAGTTTGGAACCATTAAATATTGAGGAAATGATGGATTTAGAAAATGATTAAGATTTATAAGCAATAGAAAGATTTTTGAATAAGAAAAAACCAAAAAAATAACAATAATAGTAATGACATTTTATGAACATCGAAGCCAATATATTTTTCATTATCAATTTTTAACTTTCCATTTTTATCTATCAAGTGGGCAATAATCTTATTCTTCAGTCCATCTAACTATACAATGTAAATGAAAATGATGATTGCATGCACCTGTAACAGGAGGACATTCATCTCCTGGTAATTTACATCTTGGACAAGGTTATTCAAATGCTAACTAACAAATTGTGCATCTATCTGTATCTAGACTCCATATCCATGAAGCAACAGCATTCCATTCTTTTATCTTAACTTTCATAATTTGAATTTTACTATAATAATTGAATTTATTTTATTCTTTAAATCAATAAATTAAAATAATCAATATTATTATTAAACACAGATGATTGAATTAATGAAGTATTATTGCTTGTTTTTGAACAATTACTTGAATGTTTTTATGTTTAAATCAAAGAGAGAATACAGATATAATAAATCTTTTAATGTAATTAATATCTCAAACTTAATAGCATTTTATTAACAATCATTTTAACCCCTAGATACAATATAATAAAAATATTATTTATTCTATTCAACCATTTGGCAATTTAAAGAATAAAAAACATATTATTTTATTAAATGATTTAATCATCATAATTTGATTAGAATATTCATTAGAGATTAAAGTCATTTTAATTAAAATTCTTAAATATATGAAAAATGATTATTTATAGTATAAGTATGAGAAACACAAAAAATACAATAAGATAATGATTTATTATTATTATAATTATAATTATAAACTGATTAATTTTCAAGGTTCTGTTATTGTTTCTGAATCGTAAGTAAAATAATCGTAATTGTCAAATTATTCTTTTCTATTTACTGGACTATCTATTGGAGGTTCATCCAAAAACATCTTACGATTATAATGTGATTACTTTATTAAAATATCTTAGATCTAATTCATCATTTAATTCCGGGATAATAGGAGGTACTAATTAACGATTTTAAGCTTAATTCCAATCTATATCTGAAAAGAATGGATGTTTTTTTATTTATTATATATTAATTCTTTATTTAGGCTGATAATATAGAATATATTTACATTATTATTTAATAATCCTGTGAGTAGACTCGAACAGGCTTCAGAAAACCAAGGTTTCATTTCTGTTGGTTTTTCAGTTCTATTTCTGAACATGAGAGTTCGATCTTGACTATAAAAAGGTGCAGCTCCGGTTAACATTTCATACATCAAAGCTCCCAAACTCCACCAATCACATGATTCATCATGGCCAAGTTTATCATCTGAATATATTTCAGGAGCAAGATATTCTGGAGTTCCTACTATAGAAAAGGATGGTTTATCTCGATTGCTGATAATTTTAGATAATCCAAAATCAATTAATTTGATATGGCCATCATAACATAAGAGGATGTTTTCTGGTTTAAGATCTCTATATAAGATTTTAGAATCATGTATATATTCTAAGGCGATAATAATTTCAACAGCATAAAATTAAACTTAATTCTCCTTGAATTTATAGGCTCTTCTTAAATGAAAGAATAATTCCCCACCTGCACAAAAATCAATAACATAATAAGGCTTTTATGGGGTTTAAAATGCATAATGAAGTTTACTTATAAAAGGATGATTAATCTTTTCCAATATAATTCTTTCTGTTTTAGCATATTCCACTTTTTTTTTAACTTGCAGATCATATTTATTCACAATTTTCATAGCATATACTTTTCCATTGGATCTCTTTCGAACCAATACCACCTTCCCAAAATTTCCCCTACCAATTGTCTTGATCAATTTGAAGTCTGTGACATTAAGTTTGTGTGGATCATTGGTAAGAACAATACTTTGATTATAGAAAGTGATAGTTTCTGTTTAATATTCATTAAGTGGTTTAGAATTAGTATTAGTTTGTTAAGAAACAACATCTTAGTGGCTTTCTTCATTCTTCTTAAAACAATTGAGACATTATCCCATATGTATTATATAAACTACTTTTAATATTAACGAATTAAAGTTTCCAAAACTATAGAATGGTTTAGGATAAAAGAAATAGCAAAATGTACAAGATCAAAATGACACAAGTCTACTTTTGCAATTGTTCTAAAAGATTCAACCGGTTGAAATTATTAGAATGAATGTATTTAGAATCCCTTTATGTTAGGATTCCAAAAGAAAGAGTTAATCTGTTCTATACATCTATGAAGATGAATCTGAATCTAAATTCTAAGAGACCATCAAATATGGAGTCTTGGAATACGAATAACATCAATACCAATAAGCTTTATTCTAATTTAAATAAGCAGAATAAATCCTAATTGCAATAGAAAGTCCTCCTATTCATTATTAACTAATCAATAAAATCAACATCGGTACTCATGCTTTATATTAAGGGTGTCTCATTCTATGCCATAGGATGGTTGGAAAATGCCTTCACTTGTTTCGAAGATACTATTTTGATATTGAAGAAGTATATAAATCAAACAACACAAGAGAGAATCCTCTTAGATACAATTAGGATCTAATGTTTTCTATAATGCTGCATAATTTTATCTGAAATCGGTTAGCATCATGAAGCATTGGCTATCTCTAAAATTGCAATCAAAAAGGCATTAAAATTATTGTTTGATCTCCATTCCCACTCAGAAGAGTCCTTGCAAAAGAAACTCTTAGAAGAAGTATTAAGAAAGTCAATAGCTTTACAACAATTAAAACCAAAGCAATAAGGAATAATTATCACTTTTCCTTCCTCTAAAACATTATAATTGACTCAAGAAAATCTTCTACATATCTTTAAAGATTGTTCAACTTAATATTTTGAAAAAGCCAATATCCTTAGTTAAATTTAAATGACTCCTTTAAACTTTGATTCCCTTCTCTTTCAAGTGAACTTAACTAATCAATAATTCCTCCATATATTTTCTTTGTTTGTGATCTCCCTCTATTGTACATCAGCAGAATCAAGATTCATTGAACAAATCTTAGATCCATTACAATTTACAGAAGCTGAAAATTATTTATCGAGAGCATTGGAATTAGTTTATTTGTATTTTCCTAAAGATATGCCCTTGGTCAATCAATGATTAAATGTTCACAATAGATTTCATAATATCTCAAAATAAATCATTTAAGAAGATGTTCATTAAAAGCATGAATAAAATTATGAGATAGTTTTACTTAAACCTATATTAGAACCTTAAAAATGTGGATTTGTTATTCCCATTATTCGTAAATGTATTAGATACTTATTATATATTAGCCAATAATAATTCTAAATTACTAAAGCTTAAAATTTAAATATAGATACAAATACTTATGAAGGTTCAAAGCCATAAAATAGGAAACTTGGATCAATTTCTACTACAAATAAAAATAAACCTAATTCTCCAAAATGGGGACTCAATTAAGTTGCAGAGATCTATTTAAAAGAGAAGAATGCAAGCAATCATTAAAATATAAGTATTACCAATTTTAGATAAACTCATTTCAAACGACCATAAACAAAAGCAAGCTAAAAGTAATATTGCTCCAAGGTTTAATATTAATTTCTTAATTATCAACAATTTAAATCATGTCCAATTACTACCAAAAAGAAAGAGAGGTACATCATTTAATTTAGAATCAATTAAACCCCCTTAAACAGCTCTAAATAGTGCAAAAGGGAATAAAGAACTACTAAAATCATATTAAATGTAAACCAAAATTAAAAATCTAATTAAATCCTATCAAATATAATTTTAGTTTTAATTGTTCTATTATAACCATATTTCATTCATTTATTTTATTTATAATAAATATTTAACATAATTATCATATTACAGCCATTTATTTCAAAAATTTTAAGATTCCTCCTGTTAAAATCACTTAAATTGCATTGTTAAATTTATATTATAACAAGATTGTTTATAGATTTAATATTAATAAATAAGGTTCATAGATAAGTATTATGGTTTTATGTTTGATTATGTAATAATATGTTTAGTAGGTTTGATAAGTAACATGAATATGATAAATATAGTTATGTATAGCATAAGATTTAAGGATATTATGAAATTTGGATAATAAATAATTTCATTTTTTTTAATTATGATCAAGTTATAACAATATCATTAAAATAATAAACTGAATGGGATTAAGAAATGAATTACTATCATGAATATTTTAGAATAAATCAAATAATACTGGACCGAAATTGTTTGATTAATTAAAAATGATAAATTAAAAATTAATTCAAAACATTTAGTTATTGTAATATTATTATTCTTTTTTTCATTTTCCTCTTTTTCAATTAAGAATAGTAATTAATTTAATAAGGTTGCATTTTAAAATGTTTGAAAACATGAATATTATAGTTTTTCATGTAAATTAAGACACATGAAAAATACATATAACCAAGTTGTCATTAGTTCAAATATGTAGATAGACAGAACTATTTTAATAGGTGTTTCTTAAGTATAACATAAAAAATTAATTAAAAACATAATAAAAATTATTTTTAATAGGTTATTTTAGTATAATGAAGTCAACAAGTTTTATATATTAGTAATTAAGGAAAATAATAAGAGTTCGTTTTGGAAGGAACTTGTAAGCTTATATTATTAATAATTAATATTAACATTTAAGCAATTTAGTTGAAGGAAAGGTTATTTTTAGACATTTCAAAGAGCTTCATTTAAGTGAATATCTTGAAATTTATTATTCTACATTTTAGAAACAAATTAAAGTACTTTTAAAAGGGGATTTAATATGTAAATCTTAACTAGAGAGGTAATGAATTGAGAATAAAGGACTATGGGACATGATTACTAGGATAATAATATTCACCTTATTAAAAGATTATTCTAAGAAAATAGTTAAAAATATATAAGCATTTAGTAGTATGCTTCTTATGTATGGCAATCCTTATAATTTGATGCATATTTGGTGGTATTATTGAGTCAAGATAGAATTAATTGATTATTTTATGCTTATAGAATAATATAATGTAAATAGATAGGAGATATAGATAAATCCAGGGTATTTTAAAACATATTGGGTATTGATTGAAGAAATTTAAATATGAGAAGATATTTGTGAATAAATTATAGATTTATTATTTTATGATTAGGAATAATGAAGTTATGAATTAAAAAATGGCAAACTAAAATTATGTTGGTTAAATGTTAGAAGTTTAGAATTATTTAATCAATATGCTTTAACTAATTACTATCAAATAGAATGAGAAAATATATATTAGTTTATTATTTTTTATTAATCAAAGCTCAAACATATATTTTGTATATAATTCTGGATCTGAATAATTTTGGAAGAGAAAAGATTATTAGTTAATAAATGACCTCATGTAAGGATTGCTTCAAGATTCGAGAAAGATGATAACACTTTATAAAACAGGGAAAATATTGAAAAAGCATATAGATCGACAATATAAAACCTTTTAACAACATTTGTTTTATTTTAGAGAGGTATAAATTTTTTAAGTTAATAGAAAGAATGGGGAATTGGGAGGATTTGTTGTTTTGAAGAATGTCTATTTTAAACTAAACAAAAAAAATGTTACACAAAATATTCCTTATGACAGTTGTCTTACTCTAATAAGAGATCGCAGTAGAATTGATCTTTATTTTAACCATTCAGTTGAGATCGATTAATTTTTAAGAGAACTATAGAGATGTTGTATTATCGATGGCTTTGAGTAGCATTATTAATTGCTTCAAAATATAGGTACTGGTTCTACAGCTCAAGTAAGACTTTACAAAATAAATTAGGTCTTTTTGGCAGAAAATATTCTAGATCATAAGTAATATGCAGTAAAATAGATTGAGAAAGAGCAAGCTACTGGAAGACATCGTATATTGAGATCGAAAACATTATTAGAAGAAATATTTATGATGAGGAGTTTGGATCATCCTAATATAATGAAATTACATCAAGTTTATGAATCAGAAAGTAGAATTTATATTAATAAATAGAGCATATTTAATTAGTTATTAGCTTATTTGAAGGAGGACAATTGATGGATAAAATCAAAAACTTTAATTTCCTTATGAAAAGAGAGTTGGCTAAATTGTTAATTGAAACTGTACATTATATGCACACCAAAGTATTTTATATCGAAATTAGGGAATTATGCATAGAGATTTAAAACCATTTAATATCCTCTACAAAAATAAAGATCCTTAAGATTGGTAATTTGGAATTGGAGATTTTGGATTCTCTACATCAATAAAATAACAATAACATATTCTATATAAATGTGGTACTCCTGGATATGTGGCACCTGAAATTATAGAATATAGAGAAAAGTCTAAGATGTATGGATAGTCATGTGATGTGTTTAGTATTGGTGTAATTATTTATGAAATGTAAGAGTAGAAAAATTAAATAGATTTTTTAATGTTCATCCTTTTAAAAGTAAGACAAAAGATGAAACTTTAAGATAAAATGTAAATGCTTAAATTAATTTTGATGATCGTGTTTGCATCCCTTAATCACTTAAATCTTTAATCATTTCTATGGTTAGAAAAAATCCACGACATAGATTTACTTTATAATAATGTTTAGATCATGACTTTTTTAAAGAAAGCTTATCTAAATTCAATGAATTATCATAAGAAATTTAAGAGTAAATTTAAATATATAATTTTATAGACATGAACCAAAAACAATGGAGATTAGAAACTTAAGGTGTTAGACTCTTTAGTTTTTAAAAACCCAAAATAATAGAAGAAGATAATCATTACCTCAAGATTTCTCTGTTACTTAAGAACCATAAATTTAATAAAGTAAGTCTCAAATATATTATAAAAAAGGAAAAAGTATTATAATTAAACACAGATAATCAGTTTCATCTACACATGAGTCAAAATTCAAACTAGAATCTTAACAATAGTTCTAATTGATCTAATAAAATTAAATATAATTTGGATCTTAGCTAAAATTAGTTTAATTAGAAAAGATTTGTGAGATTTTATTGAATGATTCAAATTGCAAACCAAAAGAATTTGGAAATATATATTTAATTAAGAAATAGTGAAGATGATGTAAATATATATATATATAACATGAAATTGATTGATCTTCAAAAATTATCAGAAAAAAAATATTTTTTTATAAAATATTAAGATTAATGTAGGAATACGAAAGAGTAAAATTTATCTTTACAGTATTGGAAAAGTTTATTGTCATGGTATATCATTTATCTATAGCAGGATTTAAATAGTAAAATAGCTTTGGATGACCTAAAATTTACATTCACTAATATTCTGAAAATAGATTTGTTTGCAAAAAGATTATAGTTTTCAATTACAAAAGGGTTAAAATAGTATAGTCTCAATTCACAATAATCCTTAATCTAGTAAGAGAATTTAAGAATTTTTAATTTAAATAATTAAGAAAGAAAATAAATCGATATAAATGTAAAATTTATAGAAGAAGGTGCATGATTATATCTAATATTAAATTTAACAATCTCTATTAAAGTTAATTAATAATAACAATTATAACCTTAGTTTATTATCGAAAACACTTTCCCTTAATCCAAAACACTTTTTAAAAATAAAAATTTTCGTTTATTGATTACACTTCTGAATAATTTCTATTTTATTGAATAAGAAACTCAAATTTTTCTTTGAATTATTATAATATAGTTAATATTCTCAAGTTTGCTAGATTAGCATTTTATTTATTTAATTTTTAATGATGCTATATTAAAGAGTGCCAATAAAATTAGGTACTCATATACTGAAATGATGATAAATAAGGATACATACAAACACTTGATAATAAATATTAAAATTTTATTTATTAATATAATATATTCATAATTGAAAAATTTTGTTAGGAATGCAAGAAAATAATTAATCAGAATAAAGAATATTATGATTAGTTTATTAATTTTTGTTTAAATATTTGATTATAATTTGATGGAATCTTCTGTGATATAGAATCTATGAATGAAAGTGATTAACTAAAATTTCCTAAATTTGAATTTAATTATTATGTTTAATTGATAAATGTTTTGATAAATATAAAATTTTAAGAATAGTCAAATAGTATTTTTTTGGCTTTAAAATTGAAATAATGAAAGTTGAATTAATATGTATGAAATAATTAATTAAAGGGATATTGTGATTTATTGTAATATAATTTAGATCACATTAATTAAATCCATTTAATTGGATATTTATAATAATAATAATTGTAGATATATTAAAGCTAATTAAATTATAGGATTGTTTAAAAACCTTAAAAATAATTAGAATAATTTTGCAATTAATCAATTTTAATAATATTTTTATTGTTAGCCTTATTATTGCTTAGTAATTGATGAGTAATTCTAATATAAGAAAATTAAATTTGAGATAATTTATTAGTTATTATAATTAATGAAAAATGATTATTGAATTAATTTATTGGCTTTGTAATAAAATGTTATTCATGCAAATGAATTCTTTATTTAATTTTGATCAAATGTCAAGTTTTAGATTATTGAATATTAAATTACAACACTTAAATAAATTGAATCTGATTATAAGATTGTCAATGTTCTTGAGAATTCTTTATTTTTTTGTAATTAAATGAATACAATTAAACTTCTCACTTCATGGGTTATTGTGTATGATATACTTTATAACTTTAAAGGATAAGAATTAATTGAAGTATTTATTTAATAAATTGTTTCTTGAATGAAGTTCATTAAGATTTTGACTGTTATTATCTACAGATCAATGATAATATTAGAGTTTACCCGCTAACCATCATAAATAATTCATATTGCCTCTCAATTTCTAAGTGAATTAATGATACTAAAATGTGGATTATTAATATACTCAGATGGGCAAGGTGAGAAAAAGTCTTTTGAAAGTTTCCTTGTATATATTATTAGACCATATACATATTTTATACAATAAGATTTATAGGTTGCATACACAATAGTTACTTTTGTGCTTATGCAAATACTGATATTCTACTGGTGTTATCTAATCATATATAGGGAGAAGAAAAAGATAAAATCATTCATAAATGTAATTCAAAAATATGAGTCTCATTCAACCCTAAATTTTATTTTAATTTTGTTATGGAAAACCTTATTTTTGTTTTTAACAGAGTTTTTGGGGTTTGTTCTATTAGAAGGATGCTTTGTAATATTATTTGATAATGTATAAGATAATATATCTTGTATTATCTGTTCAACCATAATTATTTTAGAAATCTTTTTCCTAATTATATTCTAAGAATTATTTTGGAATAAAAGTTTACATTATATACCAAAATAATTGAACTAAATAAATTAACAAACAATATTGGTATTGTATGCTAAATTATTAAAAATAATGACTCTTTGTCTTTTTGCAAGTTAAATAACTAATAAATCTTATATAGTATTAGGAATTTCAATACTAAGTAGTTTTTTAGAATTATATATATAATTAATACTGAAAATAAGATTGGACATATTAATTATTAAATTGGATGTATTAATGTAAAGCTTAATTATATGCGTTTCAATATAATAAGTATTTGTGATGGCTAGTACTTCTTCATTAGAATTTTTGTGGATAATTGTTGGGATTTTACTTTACAAATCAATATGTTAATTTTACTTAAATGATAATGTTATCTCAATTTAATCAAATTAAAATTAAGGGGAATAGAAACTAATGTGTGGAAGAAAGAAGATTTATTTATATTAAAATCTTATTTCGAAAAGAGACTCAGAATATAGATTGATTAATAAGATTTTGATATAAAAACATTAAGAGGATTGCTCAAATAAATCTTGTTTTTGTAGGAATGATGAAATGATTATGATTAAATTGGATCATTTGATTATTAAAGAATAAATTCATGAATACAAATAACTGATATCATAATAGAAAATAAAATCATCAATACTCTACATATAGTATATTTAATTACTTATACTTAATAATAAATATTTTGAAGCATTAAACATTACTTAAAAATTGATAAACTAAATCAATAAAAAATCAAAATTTACTACACAAGTTCAAATAATAAAAGGATAGGTATCATTATTGCATAAATTATTGTTAAAATTGCTTTAATAAAAAATTTTAATTAATATTTAATCATCCCTTTTAAATAGTGCTTAACATTCGACTAAATCATAGGGATTTAAATAAGCAATAAAATCTTATTAATAAAAGAAAGATTCAGAAAAGACTATTTAAAATCAATTCAATAGAATATTGAAATGAAAAATTGATTTTTTAGAAGAATTATCAAATTCTACTTTTTTAAATGCTAAAAAAATAAAAAATAAGGCATTCAAAATTATCAATCAAATGGATGAATTTAAATAATAATTGATTCTCAATTTTTAAAATATTCCAAGTATGATATTTATTTAAATTTAGCACATAGTAATAAAGGATTATTGTTATTCTTCTAAATTGAAGTCTTAAATGATCTAATAAATTCTCAAAAGATTAATGCAGCAAGTACTTTATCAGAAAATTAAGAAGAAATGATCTTTGTAAATAATACGTATTAACAACTTGTTAATCAATTTTCATATGCTAAATTTATTATTGGAGAAGAAGGTAATATTGAGTTAGCATCAAATAGTGTATCATAATAATTAAATATTGGAGTTAATAAATATAGTGCCTTTAATGAAATGGTTCCATAATCATTGGTATCTTTTCATAAATAGTTTATGAAAGAATTTATTTCTACAGCATAGAATAAATACTTTTTAAATATTAATTAATCATTTTACAAATATCTACAGGCATAATAATTCCTATTGAATTGTGTATGGATATTTAATTTGATTAAAAGATGAACTAATTGATGGCAACAATATTCATAATAGAAGCACATACAAACAATTCCTTCCATTATATCATAGTAGACGATAGATATAGAATCAAAAAGATCTCACAAGCTTTATATTTTGAAACTTTAGAATATCCAACTTTCGTTAAAATGCAATTGTATAATTCATCTATATTCACTCTTATACCAGAATTGAAAAAAGAAGATTTATCTCTAGATAGAACTTTAAGGTCTTATTCGTTGTGCTTTCCATAAAAAAAATAAACGTCTAGTAGTTTAAGAAGTTAAAATAGATCACAAGAATATTATCAAGGTGATATTTCCATAAAGCCAAGAGTTATTAATAAGAAAATCTTATATTACATTTTTGAAATAAGTGATTTTAAATCAGAAAGAAAAGATGTCTATATAATAAGGAGATATGGATGAAAAAGAAATTATAAATATTCCATTAGAAATCCATAATTTGTATGAATAAACAGTTCCAAATTAAATTTGGCAACTTCCAATTAATTCTAATTTAGAATCTGAAAGACCATTAGTATTTTTAAGTAATTGTGATCCTTCAGAGCTTCGATTCAAAAATTCAAAGGATTAAGATAATTTCAATATTATGTAGAATAAAGCAAAAAGTTCTATTAATACCGAAAAAAATTAGATATCTAAAAATGATTAAGAAAAATTTGATGCTGGTTCTTAAATTTCTTCAGTAGCTGCAATTAGAAGGTCAATCTATTTTAAATAATTTTAAAAATTATAAATGATTTAATATTCTCTAAAATATTTCCACCCAATATTAAGGAATTTAACACCATCTTTATAATCTATGTTATTGTTGGAGTTCTTAATTTTAGTCTTTTAATTGATTAAGTTGCAAACTTATAGAAATATTAAGAATTAATGATATTATTGAAAATTAAATATGATAATTGCTTCAAAATGATTAGATTATTAATTTTTGTTTAAATATTTGATTATAATTTGATGGAATCTTTTATGAGATAGAATCTATGAATGAAAGTGATTAACTAAAATTTCCTAAATTTGAATTTAATTATTATATTAAATTGACAAAAGTTTTGATAAATATAAAATTTTAACAATAGTCAAATAGTATTTTTTTGGCTTTAAAATTGAAATAATGAAAGTTGAATTAATATGTATGAAATAATTAATTAAAGGGATATTATGATCTATTGTAATATAATTTAGATCACATGAATTAAATCCATTAAATTGGATATTTATAATAATAATAATTGTAGATATATTAAAGCGGATTGTTTAAAAACCTTAAAAATACTTAGAATAATTTTGCAATTAATCAATTTTAATAATTATTTTTATTGTGATCCTTATTATTGCTTAGTAATTGATGAGTAATTCTAATATAAGAAAATTAAATTTGATGTAATTTATTAGTTATTATAATTAATGAAAAATGATAATTGAATTAATTTATTGGCTTTGTAATAAAATGTTATTGATGTAAAAGAATTCTTTATTTAATTTTGATCAAATGTCAAGTTTTAGATTATTGAATATTAAATTACAACATTTAAATAAACTGAATCTGATTATAAGGTTGTCAATGTTCTTGAGAATTCGTTATTTTTTTGTAATTAAATGAATACAATTAAACTTCTCACTTCATGGGTTATTGTGTATGATATACTTTATAACTTTAAAGGATAAGAATTAATTGAAGTATTTATTTAATAAATTGTTTCTTGAATGAAGTTCATTAAGATTTTGACTGTTATTATCTACAGATCAATGATAATATTAGAGTTTACCCGCTAACCATCATAAATAATTCATATTGCCTCTCAATTTCTAAGTGAATTAATGATACTAAAATGTGGATTATTAATATACTCAGATGGGCAAGGTGAGAAAAAGTCTTTTGAAAGTTTCCTTGTATATATTATTAGACCATATACATATTTTATACAATAAGATTTATAGGTTGCATACACAATAGTTACTTTTGTGCTTATGCAAATACTGATATTCTACTGGTGTTATCTAATCATATATAGGGAGAAGAAAAAGATAAAATCATTCATAAATGTAATTCAAAAATATGAGTCTCATTCAACCCTAAATTTTATTTTAATTTTGTTATGGAAAACCTTATTTTTGTTTTTAACAGAGTTTTTGGGGTTTGTTCTATTAGAAGGATGCTTTGTAATATTATTTGATAATGTATAAGATAATATATCTTGTATTATCTGTTCAACCATAATTATTTTAGAAATCTTTTTCCTAATTATATTCTAAGAATTATTTTGGAATAAAAGTTTACATTATATACCAAAATAATTGAACTAAATAAATTAACAAACAATATTGGTATTGTATGCTAAATTATTAAAAATAATGACTCTTTGTCTTTTTGCAAGTTAAATAACTAATAAATCTTATATAGTATTAGGAATTTCAATACTAAGTAGTTTTTTAGAATTATATATATAATTAATACTGAAAATAAGATTGGACATATTAATTATTAAATTGGATGTATTAATGTAAAGCTTAATTATATGCGTTTCAATATAATAAGTATTTGTGATGGCTAGTACTTCTTCATTAGAATTTTTGTGGATAATTGTTGGGATTTTACTTTACAAATCAATATGTTAATTTTACTTAAATGATAATGTTATCTCAATTTAATCAAATTAAAATTAAGGGGAATAGAAACTAATGTGTGGAAGAAAGAAGATTTATTTATATTAAAATCTTATTTCGAAAAGAGACTCAGAATATAGATTGATTAATAAGATTTTGATATAAAAACATTAAGAGGATTGCTCAAATAAATCTTGTTTTTGTAGGAATGATGAAATGATTATGATTAAATTGGATCATTTGATTATTAAAGAATAAATTCATGAATACAAATAACTGATATCATAATAGAAAATAAAATCATCAATACTCTACATATAGTATATTTAATTACTTATACTTAATAATAAATATTTTGAAGCATTANACTGTTATTATCTACAGATCAATGATAATATTAGAGTTTACCCGCTAACCATCATAAATAATTCATATTGCCTCTCAATTTCTAAGTGAATTAATGATACTAAAATGTGGATTATTAATATACTCAGATGGGCAAGGTGAGAAAAAGTCTTTTGAAAGTTTCCTTGTATATATTATTAGACCATATACATATTTTATACAATAAGATTTATAGGTTGCATACACAATAGTTACTTTTGTGCTTATGCAAATACTGATATTCTACTGGTGTTATCTAATCATATATAGGGAGAAGAAAAAGATAAAATCATTCATAAATGTAATTCAAAAATATGAGTCTCATTCAACCCTGAATTTTATTATAATTTTGTTATGGTAAACCTTATTTTTGTTTTTAACAGAGTTTTTAGGTTTGTTCTATTAGAAGGATGCTTTGTAATATTATTTGATAATGTATAAGATAATATATCTTGTATTATCTGTTCAACCATAATTATTTTAGAGATCTTTTTCCTAATTATATTTTAAGAATTATTTGGGAATAAAAGTTTACATTATATACCTAAATAATTGAACTAAATAAATTAACAAACAATATTGGTATTGTATGCTAAATTATTAAAAATAATGACTCTTTGTCTTTTTGCAAGTTAAATAACTAATAAATCTTATATAGTATTGGGAATTTCAATAGTTTCTTAGAATTAAATATATAATTAATACTGAAAATAAGGTTGGACATATTAATAATTAAATTGGATGTATTAATGTAAAGCTTAATTATAAGTGTTTCAATATGATAAGTATTTGTGATGGCTAGTACTTCTTCATTAGAATTTTTGTGGATAATTGTTGGGATTTTACTTGACAAATCAATATGTTAATTTTACTTAAATGATAATGTTATCTCAATTTAATCAAATTAAAATTAAGGGGAATGGAAACTAATGTGTGGAAGAAAGAAGATTTATTTATATTAAAATCTTATTTCGAAAAGAGACTCAAAATATAGATTGATTAATAAGATTATGATATAAAAACATTAAGAGGATTGCTCAAATATATCTTATTTTTGTAGGATTGATGAAATGATTATGATTAAATTGGATCATTTGATTATTAAAGAATAAATTCATGAATACAAATAACTGATATCAAAATAGAAAATAAAATCATCAATACTCTACATATAGTATATTTAATTACTTATACTTAATAATAAGTATTTTGAAGCATTAAACATTACTTAAAAATTGATAAACTATATCAATAAAAAATCAAAATTTACTACACAAGTTCAAATAATAAAAGGATAGGTATCATTATTGCATAAATTATTGTTAAAATTGCTTTAATAAAAAATTTTAATTAATATTTAATCATCCCTTTTAAATAGTGCTTAACATTCGACTAAATCATAGGGATTTAAATAAGCAATAAAATCTTATTAATAAAAGAAAGATTCAGAAAAGACTATTTAAAATCAATTCAATAGAATATTGAAATTAAAAATTGATTTTTTAGAAGAATTATCAAATTCTACTTCTTTAAATGCTAAAAAAATAAATAATAAGGCATTCAAAATTATCAATCAAATGGATGAATTTAAATAATAATTGATTCTCAATTTTTAAAAGATTCCAAGTATGATATTTATTTAAATTTAGCACATAGTAATAAAGGATTATTGTTATTCTTCTAAATTGAAGTCTTAAATGATCTAATAAATTCTCAAAAAATTAATGCAGCAAGTACTTTATCAGAAAATTAAGAAGAAATGATNAGAATTCTTTATTTTTTTGTAATTAAATGAATACAATTAAACTTCTCACTTCATGGGTTATTGTGTATGATATACTTTATAACTTTAAAGGATAAGAATTAATTGAAGTATTTATTTAATAAATTGTTTCTTGAATGAAGTTCATTAAGATTTTGACTGTTATTATCTACAGATCAATGATAATATTAGAGTTTACCCGCTAACCATCATAAATAATTCATATTGCCTCTCAATTTCTAAGTGAATTAATGATACTAAAATGTGGATTATTAATATACTCAGATGGGCAAGGTGAGAAAAAGTCTTTTGAAAGTTTCCTTGTATATATTATTAGACCATATACATATTTTATACAATAAGATTTATAGGTTGCATACACAATAGTTACTTTTGTGCTTATGCAAATACTGATATTCTACTGGTGTTATCTAATCATATATAGGGAGAAGAAAAAGATAAAATCATTCATAAATGTAATTCAAAAATATGAGTCTCATTCAACCCTAAATTTTATTTTAATTTTGTTATGGAAAACCTTATTTTTGTTTTTAACAGAGTTTTTGGGGTTTGTTCTATTAGAAGGATGCTTTGTAATATTATTTGATAATGTATAAGATAATATATCTTGTATTATCTGTTCAACCATAATTATTTTAGAAATCTTTTTCCTAATTATATTCTAAGAATTATTTTGGAATAAAAGTTTACATTATATACCAAAATAATTGAACTAAATAAATTAACAAACAATATTGGTATTGTATGCTAAATTATTAAAAATAATGACTCTTTGTCTTTTTGCAAGTTAAATAACTAATAAATCTTATATAGTATTAGGAATTTCAATACTAAGTAGTTTTTTAGAATTATATATATAATTAATACTGAAAATAAGATTGGACATATTAATTATTAAATTGGATGTATTAATGTAAAGCTTAATTATATGCGTTTCAATATAATAAGTATTTGTGATGGCTAGTACTTCTTCATTAGAATTTTTGTGGATAATTGTTGGGATTTTACTTTACAAATCAATATGTTAATTTTACTTAAATGATAATGTTATCTCAATTTAATCAAATTAAAATTAAGGGGAATAGAAACTAATGTGTGGAAGA